TGCAACACGCGCTAGTCTGACAAAGGAAGAGTTGGCCCATGTACAGGAGCAACTGCAGATTGAATGGAATCAACTTTACCAGAAAAGACGACGTGAACTTATTAGCATTTTGGCGAGAAATGGGAAAGAGTTTTGAGAGGATAACGCTGGTTTTCTCAGGACAACCGAATACCATGAGCATCATATATTTGATGGGAATGACTTGCCGTCCAAGGCCCCTGCGTCAGTCAACGAAGGATCATTATCTACTGATTCAGGGCCATTGAGGATTCGTGTTGGGGAAATGAATTGGCTGTCAGAGGAGGGACGCATTACGGGTAGGTTTGTCAGCACAAATGTTGTCAACCTTTCGAAGAAGGAGCTGTCGGAAGATGATGTTTCACTGCTATCCAAAGGCCTCAAGTTTTGCCCAACACCAAAGGAAATAAACAAAGCGGAACTGAGAGCGGACCTTGAGGAGTTTAAACGAAGAATGAGATTAAAATGGCATTTTAAGGACAACACTAAAACAGAAAAACAGTTATTTAGAAATAGGTCTAACTGGCAGCCCCCTAAGAATAACCTTCTTTTTGAGAACTATATTTCGCTGGTGGAGAATGAGGTGCTGTCTGTCTCACCGGAGGGTAAGAATTTTAGTAATCTCTCTCCTTCAGAACTCTCTTCACTCGATAAGCTTAAATGTGATAGGGACATAATTATAAAAGAAGCAGATAAGGGTTCAGCGGTTGTAGTTTGGGATCGGGGGGACTATATAATGGAGGCTAACCGACAATTAGACGATAGGCAGGTATATGAAGAGGTTGAGGTGGATCCCTCTGTAGAACTGGGTAAGACCATAAATGATGAGTTAAAAGAAATAAGGGAGGCGGACCCGGCGTTAGATGAAGTGGCTGGCTATTTAGAAGTAAACAATCCTAGGTTAGGTAGATTTTATTTGTTGCCTAAGATTCATAAGGGTCTTAGTAATGTAAAGGGGCGTCCAGTCATTTCAAATTGTGGTACATTAACCGAACATGTTTCAGAATATCTAGATTACCACCTCAACTCGTTGGTTAGCCAAAGTAGGTCTTATGTTAAAGATACAAACCATTTTTTATCTAGGATAGGAAATATAGGAACTATACCAGAAGGGGCAATTTTATGCACTGTTGATGTTGTGGGACTCTATCCTAGCATTCCACACGAGGAAGGTTTAGAGGCCGTAAGGGAGGCGCTGGATAGACGGGAAAATCCAGGCGTGGCTACTGACACATTAGCTGGGCTCGCTTCCTTAGTATTGGAGAATAACTATTTTGAATTTAATGATAGGTTTTATAAGCAGAAGTTAGGTACGGCTATAGGCACGAAGTTCGCTCCGGCCTATGCCAATCTTTTTATGACTAGGTTAGAGGAGAGGTTGATGGATACCTTCGCCGACAAGCCCCTTGTCTGGATGAGATTTATCGATGATATTTTCTTTATCTGGACACACGGGGAGAATAGGCTGAAGTTATTCATTGACCATCTCAACAGTAGCCACGACACAATTAAGTTTACCAGTGAACATTCTACAGAATCTATTAGTTTCTTAGATGTCACGGTAAAAGTAGGAGAGGGGGGAGTCCTTATGACAGACTTATTTTGTAAGCCAACTGATACCCATCAGTTCTTACATAAGAAGTCTTGTCACCCTTGGCATACAAAGAAGGCGATCCCCTATAGTCAGGCTCTTAGGTAACGTAGGATTTGCTCAGATGATCGCCAGTTTAAGGAACATGTAGGTAAACTCGCTGGATGGCTTAAGGATAGGGGGTATGAAGAGTCCCTTGTTAATCAACAAATAGATAGGGTACGTAGGCTAGATAGGGAGACTCTTCTGGAAAAAGCGGGAAGTAGGAAAACCAACGAAGGGAGGGCTGACAGGGTTCCACTCGTGACTACATACCATCCGGCACTTAATGGTTTGGGGAACATTGCAAGGAAACACCATACCTCGCTCACTGATTCAGAAGAGCACAAGGAGGTGTTCCCTGTGCAACCAGTAGTTGCTTTTAGGAGGTGTAAGAATCTTAAGGATATTTTGGTGAGGGCTAGGCTTACAAGTGGGAGGGAGAAGGGACACAATAACGGGGGAAGTTCGTGTTGTAAGAAGTCCAGATGTCAAGTGTGTAAAGTCATGTCTAACAGCGATAATTTTAAGTCAAGCACTACAGGTAAAGAATATAAGATCAACTATTCGTTTAACTGTGACTCGTCCAATGTTGTGTACTTAATTGAGTGAAATGTCTGTGGAGTCCAGTATGTAGGTAGCACATGCACGCCTTTTAGGCTTAGGTTTAATAATTACAAGGCGTGTAGTCGTAAGTTTAATTTAGGGTCTTCAGTGACCCAGAAGGAATTCTTCAGACATTTTTCTGAGGAAGGACATCGGGGGTTTCTGAATGACGTAAGTGTTAAGGTCATAGATAGGTTAACAGGTAATGATAGGAGGAGAGAAAGTTTTTGGCAATATCGCTTGAATACTTTCTCTCCGATGGGTCTCAATACTAGGCAGGTAGATACATAGGACATTTATATATTCTTCTACAGTTTTAAATTTTTAAAAGTTTTTTTTTTATATTTTTAATTTTTAATGTCGGCTCTTTTGTTTATAGCTTATCTTCTCGTTATTTTGTTTTTTGCTTTTATGGCTTTCATCTATCTCTTGTGAGACAGCCAACACCAGCATCTCCATCACATTCTTTCTTCTACCTTTCTTTTTACTTCCCTCCCAGTTCCCCATAACAGTTTGCGTTCTAACACATTTGACAATATGTATTGTATTAGGCAGGTGCCCCTTAGGTTTCTATTGTATTGTAGTGTTCTATTGTAATTTAGGTTGATAAGTAGGCTCCTATGATTTTGTAAAGTTATTACTGATGAAGCGAAAGCGAAACGTCTTACGAAAGTGTTTTCTTTGATTATATATATATATATATATATATATAGATACTCAATAAAAAAACAACTTGGTTGACGTTTCGCTATAAGCTTCTTCAGAATAACTAACACATACATCTGGAGCGTAAAATAAGGAATACGGAACAAAAGAACAAAAAGTAACACATTTTACAAGCAAGAACAATAATAGCTAATTTAACAACATAATGATAGTTTCTAAGCACAGCCGGAGGTGAGAAAAGATGGATAAATACAATAGATCAAAGAACAATAGAACAAGTGTGATAGCAGATGGTATAGCATGCAGAAAGGTCCAAGGAAAAGGAACGGTAAATGCTGTCTGTCCCAAAAAAAATAAGAAACTAGGTAAATAAATATAATAAATATAGAATGCAAAGAAAAGGAAGAAAGTAGATAGAAAACGTGGAAAAAATAAAAATAAACAAAAGTAACAAGGAGAAAATAAACAAAAAGATAGGAAATAAAAATAAAACTATGTGTCAACTAACCTAATATTAAGGCCCCGGGGCGCAAAAGTTTCTAACTTATACTGCCAGAAACTTTCACGTATCCTACCATTCCCATTAAGTCTATCTATAATAGTAACTTTTATATCTTCGAGAAACCCATGATGATCCTTCCCTGCAAAATGCCGGAAAAAATCAGCCTGAGGTACACCCGAAGAGCCCCCGATAAGCTTACGATTGCACGCCTTGTAGTTATTAAACCTAAGCCTAAAAGGCGTTCAAGTGCTACCCACATACTGTACACCACATACTTTACATTCCATAAGATACACAACATTGGACGAATCACAATTAAACGAAAAATTTATCTTATATTCCTTATCAGTTATATGGGAAGTGAAAGTATCAATGTCACACATAACATTACACACTTGACACCGAGACTTGCCACACGGAGTACAACCCTTGTTATGCGAAACCCCTGCCCCCTCACTATGAAGTTTAGCCCTAACTAGTATATCTTTAAGATTCTTACACCTCTTAAATGATATCAAAGGTGGCTGAGGAAACACCTTCCTATGCTCTTCTGATACTGTAAGCATAGAATGAGGTCTCCCGGCCACCTTGCCCAAATTATTCAAGGCTGGATGGTATGTGGTAACAAATGGAACCCGCCCATTCCCACTGTGTTCATGTTTCCCATTAGCCTTATCCAGTAGTGTAACCCTATCCTGCCTACGTGCCTTATCTATCTGTTCTGTTATAAGTGATTCCTCATACCCCCTTGCCTTTAACCATCCAGCCAAATCCCTTAACCTATCCCGTAACTGGCGATCGTCCGAACAAATCCTACGTAACCTTAAAGCCTGACTATAGGGTATCGCCTTCTTGGTATGCCATGGGTGACAAGACTTCTTATGTAAATACTGATGTGTATCAGTAGGTTTACAAAACAAGTCTGTCGTTAGGACTCCCCCCTCACTTACACTAACCTTAACGTCTAGAAAACTTATACTCTCCCTGGAGTGCTCCCCTGTAAACTTAATGGTATCGTGGCTACTGTTAAGAAAGTTGATGAAGGTCTCAAGCTTCTCCTCGCCATGTGTCTAGATAAAGAAAACATCATCGATGAATCTCATCCATACAATTGGTGTGTCCACTGATTCCTTCAACAATCTTTTTTCCAACCCAGTCATAAAGAGGTTTGCATAAGCTGGAGCGAACTTAGTTCCTATAGCGGTGCCTAACTTCTGTCTATAAAAGTTATCATTAAATTCAAAGTAGTTGCTTTCAAGAACCAGAGATGCCAATCCCACTAGGGTATCAGTAGCCACGTTTGGGTTTTCCCTTCTATCCAGCGCTTCCCTGATGGCTTCCAGACCCTCCCCATGTGGAATGCTAGGATAGAGTCCCACAACATCAACTGTACACAGTATAGCCCCCTCTGGTGTCCTACCTATTTCACCTAACTTAGACAAGAAATGATTAGTATCCTTAATGTAAGACCTACCAAGGCTAACCAGTGGATTGAGGTGGTGATCTAGATATTCTGATATATTTTCTGTAACGGTGCCACAATTGGAAATGACTGGTCGACCCTTAACCCCACTTAATCCCTTATGAATCTTAGGTAACAAATAGAACTTACCTAGTTTCCCTTCATTAACTTTAAGAAAATCAGTCACTTCCTTTAACCCGGGATCCTCCACCCTTAACTCATTAATCCTATTATTAACGGCCTTACCCAATTCTATCGTGGGGTCCACCTCAATCTCCTCGTAAACTTGCCTATCACCTAACTGCCGGTTAGCCTCTTCTATGTAATCCCCCCTGTCCCAAACTACAACAGCTGAGCCCTTGTCCGCTTCCTTGATAACTATATTCCTATCACACTTAAAATTATTCAACGCAGAAAGTTCAGAAGAGGAAAGGTTACTGTAATACTTACCATCCGTGGTAATAGACAGCACATCCTTTTCAAGTTGAGAAAGAAAAGATTCTAGCAGAGGATCAGAAGTAGGAGGATTCCAGCTGGACTTACACCTAAAATTAGAAATATTAACGTCCAAAGGGTTTGACTCAGAATCTCGGAAAAACCAGCGTAAACGCATTCTTCTTTTAAAGACATCGAAATCCGCCTTCAGCTGCGCCTTGTCCAAGTCAGTAGGAGTGGGTGAAAATTTCAGACCCTTCGAGAGGAGGCTTATTTCCACTTCGGAAAGGGTCCGGTGTGAAAGATTCACCACATTCCCACTAACAATTTGTCCAATAATCCTGTCTGTAGGTCCTATTACTCCCCCCTCGTCTCCTTGGCAATCTTCTTGCCCTGTGCCGGTAGTTTCCGCAGGTCGTTGTCCCGAACACAGATCCTCTTCGCTGAATAGGTGGCCCTCAATATGTGTTTTCGTCATGAGCCATCGCAAACCATCCGACTGACCATGATTTCCATTTAGTATGGCCATTCCTTTCTTTTGTCTTCTTTTCAGAAGACTGCTATGAAGTTCCCTTAATTGTTCTTTGATGTGTCCCATTTCCTCTTTAGTCAAGTTCTGCCGAAGGCTCTGCATCCGTTCATAGGCTGATACTTCGGCTCTTTCAATATCCTCCCTGTACTTCAATATCATTAGGCAAAGAAGCTGTCTCTCGGCCGTTCTCAAAACACTTGTCCAGGAATTCTCAAATTGTTCTTCTTTCTGGCCAGGATAGGAACAGACTTTTCTCAGGCGAAGGCCAAATGGAGTGACGTCGCAGACACGGCAAAATTCCAGGAAACTCTGATGATGTTCCAACTTGATAAGCGATGCGAATGTTCGAATAATTAAAATAATATGCTCCATAATGTATCATCATTCTATACCTATTCTAAGCAAACTGTATATATATATTCAATAGCTCCTAACTTTAAAGTTCTTTAAAAATATAAATAGATACTCAATAAAAAAACAACTTGGTTGACGTTTCGCTATAAGCTTCTTCAGAATAACTAACACATACATCTGGAGCGTAAAATAAGGAATACGGAACAAAAGAACAAAAAGTAACACATTTTACAAGCAAGAACAATAATAGCTAATTTAACAACATAATGATAGTTTCTAAGCACAGCCGGAGGTGAGAAAAGATGGATAAATACAATAGATCAAAGAACAATAGAACAAGTGTGATAGCAGATGGTATAGCATGCAGAAAGGTCCAAGGAAAAGGAACGGTAAATGCTGTCTGTCCCAAAAAAAAAAATAAGAAACTAGGTAAATAAATATAATAAATATAGAATGCAAAGAAAAGAAAGAAAGTAGATAGAAAACGTGGAAAAAATAAAAATAAACAAAAG